TCTTTGCGTCGTAAAGAGTTAGACACCAGAACAGGATACTTTAGATAACAGAGTTTGTTGATTCTAAACATTCGTGTTTAAATCAACGAACAGATCATCTTGAGTCCACATGAGGATCTTTGACATCGGCTTCACAGATGTTGTTCAACATCATTCGTTTCTTCAGAGTCATCTCACTTCCATATAATTTTGCGATGCAGATCAGTTTCGTCATTCGCGATACGATGCGTACGTTAATAATGGATCAAAGGGTCATATATTTTTCGTTCGTTCTTTCGTCTCTTCATCGAGTACGAAAATTTCTACTTGAGTCTACACTCGATATAATTTTAGGATTAACAATTTTTATTTAATGAGAATTCTAACAGAGTCAATATTTACCAAATAAATTCTCATACCTTTCCTGGAGCAGAGGGATGCGAGAGTCGTGGATGTGATTGACATTTTATTATTATTTTTTTTAAAAAAAATCAAATTTCGATCCGAAGATCGGTTTTAAAACCATTTGCTCCGATACCAAATTGTAACACCCTAATTCGTCCAGGTCTGCAGCCCCTTTCGGACTAAAGTATTAACTTGGTAATCGTAAAATTTAAAACTTTTCAAACACTTTTATTTATCACGATAATATTTTTCATAACATATACAGTGCGGAGTTTTCAATATTGCGGAAGCTTAACAAATCATAATTACAAACATAATTTATTTATGTTCTTTAATTCAAAGCTGTCACATCCATTCCGACAATCTCAGCTCCGTCTGCCTCCAGAATCATGTCACATCATTCTTTCTATTAACCTACGTGTAGCAAATAAAACATATTACACGCTCAGCGGTGAAGCTGAGTAAGCATATCTAAAGCGTCGAACATCCATATAAATTGAATCCAAATTCATAATCAAATCATTTGATATCATGCACAGAGTATTTAGTTCAAATATACAATAATCAATATTCAACATTCGTCATTCAATATTCATATTCAACATTCAACATTCAACATTCAACATCCTCGTTCAATAATATCCTTAAACTATTCTTAGTCTAAGGCCAATTTATTTGATTTTTACCAACTCTTAAACTAGTTCTAGTTTAAGGTACTTCTATCCAACTCTTAAGCTAGGTCATTAGTTTAAGGTACATATATTCCGATTGATTTACCAACTCTTAAACTAGTTCTAGTTTAAGGTACTTCTATCCAACTCTTAAGCTAGGTCATTAGTTTAAGGTACATATATTCCGATTGATTTACCAACTCTTAAACTAGCCTTTGTTTAAGGTACAAATCCAGAAAACCGAACAGTAGGATACTAACTGTCGGGTTGGGTGGCATCCCCAAACGAGTTCCTCTAGTTTGGTTATGGATCCCGTACGTACGTTTTACCCCAGGCCACCGAATATTCATAATTATACCCGCAAGGCCTATTTCTAAGTCATCTTAGAGGTCTTCTAGATAGTCTTAGAAACCAACGTCAACCTAGGTATATCTTAGAGTTCTTCTAGATATCCTTAGAATTCAAATCATTTCATAATCATCAACATATTTATTTCAATTCCTAATTTAATCTTCAATAATCATTTTAATCAGTAGTTTCATCAAGTCATAATCATCATAATAATCATTCATCATAATCATCAATCAACATAACATTTGATAACAAACAACGGCCTAGTCTCGAGTGTTAACACCCGAACTTACCGTCATGCATCACATAGTATTTTATATGCCAAAAACATCATTTTTATTATACAAAATCATATTTATATTGTGCATAATTAATTGGTATCAAAAATAGGATTTCATAGTTCAAAAATCATGTTTTCTAAACAATAATTGATTAATATATGCTAGGAAATTCAATTATTAACTATTAGCTTCATTTTCTTCAATAGTGTAAGGAGACAGTCTACTGTCACTTTTGATAATCTACTGTCTGATGTTTAGAATGGGCTGATAATCGATTATCACACTTTGATAATCGATTATCAAACTTCAGAGAGGGCTGACAGTCGATTATCACATTCTGATAATCGACTGTTGCTCAGCTTTGTTTAAAAAATCTGCAGAACGATGAATAATCGATTTTCAAGTTGATAATCGATTATCCATCGTCTTCTACCTCGAGCCAACTTGCGGAAATGTCACTTTTACTCACCAAACATCAATTAAAGTATATAAAAGTGTTCTCCAAGGTTCATTGATCATTTTAGCATCATTAATTCATAATTTTAACATCAATTTCATGGTTTATGATTCTTAGTTTTTCAAGCATGTCAAACACAAAACTCAACCAAATGACCAGTTATGAACGTAGAAACGACCTATATGAACATTCTAGTCATTAGATATATCTACGGGCTTACTTCGAAGCTTAATGGAGGTTTTGGAAATTTTTCGGCAAAACTTCCGGCGAGTATTTCTCCCAACTCCGGCGACTTCACACCAAATTGATAGCACCACAACACTCCTCACACTTTCATGGAACACTTAGGAAGAAGAATGAAGAAAAATGGTGAAGAAATGAGAAGGTTGGGTTCTCTTATATAATGAGAAGGAGAGAAGAAGAAAACAGCTATGGTGACTCCACAATTCTGCGATCGGCGTAGTGGGGAAGGAGGCGCCGTCTAAACAGTTCCCTGATTGGGACCTATTTTGGTTCTAGTCGGGGTACACTTTTTGGTCCAACTTTGGTCCAACTTTCTCCAAATTGAAATATGTTTGCACCGTTGCGATCAGACAGTCGAACTCTATCCAACGATATACTTTTCATAATTATTTGCAATACTTTTTCCGACATCATATTTTTGGGTGGTTGACTTTGACAAAGTCAAAATTGATTTATTTGACCTTTACTTAAAAAGGTACTCATACTAAATTCATTTTATTTATTCTCATGATTTATTTCAATAAATCATTTTAAAGTTTACATCATAAACACATTATTCATTTATTACTGATTTTGGGTTTGTACTCAAGTTCCCAACCAAGATTACACAATTAGTCAACATATTGGATTTATTTCTATGAGATTTATCCAGATTAAGATATTGGATATCAAACACATATTTTTTTGGCCCAAAGTTTAACAATAAATTATTTTTAATCAAAACAAATTTGATTAATTTATTATTTATTTATTAATAATTCTGGGGTATGTTTTGGGGCGTTACAGCTAAACCGACCGAGTTCATCTCGAATACTTATGAGAAAACGTCTCAACCGCAAGAAGCGTGAAGTCTATTCGTGTGATACACGAAAAGAAACATCTGAACTAAAGGAACATACCAAAACTATGTCACCTCTCTGATATGAACTTCCTAATATTTCACCGTCCTGAGAAATTGAATTCTCTGTCAATCTTGATCCAACAAAGGACCAATATTCATAACTCCGTATTGAATGTGTTTCCGTCGAAACTGAAAAACTCAACTATAAAGATTACCTGACAAAGAATCATCTGACCAAGTGTTTCCACCTTGGGAGAATACCTGTTCTGTTCATACGTGAATAAAGAAGGATCGATGAGACTCTATATCAACTACTGTGAGTAGAAGAATTCGTTATCATTTACCTCGTATCAATGACTTATTTGATCAACTACTGTGTTCTCTAAGATTGGCTTACGGTCAGGATACTATCGCATCCCTGTTAAGAGAGATGGACAAACTGACGATCAAGAATCGCTACCCTTTACTACGTACTGACGATGTGTTCGATCAAATTCAAAGAACCCACTTGTTAGAAGCTATAGACAACTCAACCTTATTGAATGAACTGGCGCCTAGTTATGAAGTGACTAATGACTTAATTGCTTATCGTTGGAAATGTCGGTGTAGTCTGATTGAATAAATGAAGTAAACTGATGCTTACAAGACAAATCATTAAGATAATTGACTCGTTCATATACCCTATTGACGTGAAAGATCGTGACGTGGTGACAATACAAAACAAGACGTGAAACAGTGACACCAATAGTGAAAGGCTAAAGAATGAAAAAATGTAGCTTGCACTGGCCATACAACTTAAAAATATTTATGGCTAACCATTTATATTTTTGGATTTCAACACAAAATAGAACTTGGATTACCTGAGGAATGTTATAGATGCAATTCTAAGTCTAATCTTTCAGGATTCGCAAACTCGTCGTAACTAGCCCCAGGACCTGGGAAAGTTTTCATAGACAAGCTGCATCTACACTGCTATCAGATCTTGTCTACATCGTTATATGGATGCCTCTAAAAAACTACATGGCCCTAATGATATATGAGAAGACATGAGAATAGATTATGCTATTTCTAAGTCATATAAGAAGGCATTGAGTGCAAAAAAAAGCAATGAGCAAATAGTATAGAGCCGATGATGAACCTTTCGAGTTACTGCAAGCAATGTACCATGTATTAGCCCAAAAAAATCCAAGATCAGTTATATCTCTCACAACCTACAAAAATGACCAGTTTAAGAGTATGTTGTTCTTGCTATGTGCATGGAGACAAGCTTGGATTCAATGCTTCCCAATTCTAATTATAGATGGTACATTCCTGAAGGCATATTTTCGTGGTACATTATTGACCGCCTGCACACAGATGCAAATCGGCAGATTGTCCCATTGGCTTTTGGCATTTGTGACACTGAGAGTAAGGAGACCTGGTTGTGGTTTTTAACCAATGTGAAACATGCACTAACTGAATCTAGTAACCTCTACATTATATCTGATCGTCATGAGGGGATTCTATATGCTGTTGAACAAGTGTGCCCCTCCGTTTCTCACGGGTATTGTTCTTAGCACATACGTCGCAATCTCAAATCCAAATTTAAAGGGAAATAAGAGGTGATTCAGTGGAAATTTAGAGGTGTTGCTCGAGCAGCTACTGTCAAGGAATTCGAAGAGTATCTTCAACTTCTTGATGATGAAGATCCTCGGATAAGGGAATACCTCATCAAAATTGGGAAATAAAGTGGTCTCAATGCCATAGTGATAAATCTCGTTATTCTAGTATGACATCAAATCTCGCTGAGTTATTGAATAATGTCAATAATAGTGCTAGGGAGTTTCGTGTTGCAAAGCTTGTAGAATTCATTCGTGATAGGATGCAGCAGTGGTTTCATGATCGGTCAGAAATTGCTAGTTCCACTCGCACCCGTCTTTTTAAGAAATGTGAGGCTCTCCTAATTCAAATGCAACGTGAAGCATTTCGTATGAAGGTATGCTTTTTAGAAATTAGTCATTCTTATATTATTGCTTATGGGAAGTGATGTTTAAGTTGTTTCCATACTATACTTTTGTATAAAACACAACATAATTGGTTGGGCACTCTAGCCCTTCTATTTATTTCTTTGATATTGTGGCAATCTACATTACAACACTTTGTAATATTACCACATTAGACACTGTGACACTTTACATTATAATTGTTCGTAATGTAAAGTTTAAGTTTTTTATTACCTAAATAGTACTATCTACCTTCTTTCCGTTCCTCTTTCTATTCTTCTTACTAATGAGCATCACAGTTCACCATCCTTCATAGTCCTTCCCCATCTACATTACAACTCTTTGTAATACTCATTACCACATTACATGCTGTGACACTTTACATTACAATGGCTCGTATATTAGCCACTGAATATTTTTATTTTTTTTGTTATGTAGGTAAATCCATCATGTCCATATGAGTTTGAAGTTATTGATTTTCATTCGCGCTCTTATGTGGTCAATTTAAAGGACAAAACATGCACATCTTGTGAATTCCAACTTGATCAATTTGTTTGCGTTCATGCGGTGGCTACTATTGGGAGATGTCCCGACTTATCTTGTCATGATTTTATCTCTCCTTTCTACAAAATAGAGGTGTTAGTATGTACATATGTTGCTACAGTCCACCCAATTGGAAATCTGTCTTCATGGGATGTTCCTCAACAGACTTTGTCAATAATTTCCAAACCACCACCCTGTGACGAACGCCCTCCAGGAAGGCCTAAGAAGAGGCTCTACCTGTGTATTGGAGAGGGCTATTGGGGACAACGTCATGGAAAACAGAAGTGTTCACGCTGCAAATGGTACGACCATAACAAGAAGTCATGTAGACATCCTATTCCATCAGTGGAAGATCCGAACACTATTTGATATATCTTTATGTTGCATTACATGATTTTTTAGTATAGTTTAACTGTGTTAAAATTGCTTGTACTAAAATGTAATGTACTTTTAAAATGTCCTTCCATCTTGACACTTTTAATTCATAATTTCATTTCATCTTAATTAGCTTTGTCATTCAACGTTGTGTACAGTGCCACACATCGGCATATACATGACCAACTTCAGAGACTCTTATAAATTGTTGTGTAAATGAGAAAACTAAAATTTCATATTGCAAATGGCCACGTTGTGTCAACAATAATGTAACAACACTTCTTATTAAACAAGCACTTAACAGCGTCAACCATCGCTCAAAACATTCATGACCATGTGACAATCTTTGTCATGTAACATATTTGTCTTGTAATATACAAAAAACACAGTTCAAGACCCTAAGTTTCACAGCATAAACTTAACATTACCAAAAAACATTTCAATGGCGGATCATAAACTAGTTTTGTGTTTCACCACTGATTTTCAAACTAGTTTTTTGGACTCAGTATACTTGTACAATTCTGTAGCCATCTTCACTCTATAAGCAGTCATGTCCTCCGTGCACACCTTGTTGATTTTTCTGCCCATCATTAGATATTCTGCAATCTTCAACACAAACATGCCACAGTTCTCCCTACACAAGTTTGAGGACAATTAGTAACCAATGTATTTACATTTGAAAAAGACTTACACATGTGCATGCTTGTTAATGTTTCACTTGTAGTTAAAACTTACGCATGTGTTAGCTATGGACGATTCAGAACATCTTTTGTGTGGATCTCCTAATTTCCCAATTGTCTAGTAAGGTGCTTTTTATAGACACCACATGCATCCAGTAGCTTAGGAAGTAGGTGTTTGATGCACAGGATGTAAGCTGTAATGTCTGTGAGTCCTTTTGACTTCCCTCTCCTTGAATTATACACCCATATCATCTTCCCTTCCATCTCTAATACTAGCAAAATCCAATGTTTACCGGTATTTAAGGGTATGTACACAAAATCTGCATCTACCCACTTAATTGCACACCTTCTTACTTTACACAATATCTGATTCATTAAGTATTTAATGTTGCCAACCTCGCGTGTAGTTCTCACTTTTGCATCAACTTTGTCCTGGTGTTTCTTTAGCACATCCATGAAGAATGGTGTTGTTGTTCCATACCTTTGGTTAAGCTTGTAGTGGAACCTTTTCACTTCCAAATAGAACATTCCAACCTCAATGTGCTTTAACAAATAATGAAAACATGCATGATGTTAGTTTTATCAACACCTTGCAAATCAAAATCATCATAAAAATTTTATATATTTCTTACCAATGTTTCCAACCACTCTTGATCCATAAACAAATCATACGGCCATGTCTTATTATTCATTGTGTGCACGCCTAGAATATATCAGAGGATTATTCTCCATGGCCTCTTCTTGCTTTGTGTACATTCTTCTCCCTCTTAATTTTGGCATCCGCTTCAACAGTTCTTTCTCCAAATATGTTTTCAGCTTATAAATGTCATCCAGCGGAGGTATTTATTTGATCTCCAGCATAAATGGTCCAATAATGACCTCCATCTGGCTCAATGTCACTTCATCTAACCTGAACGTAGGTTCCTTCATTTTCTGTTTCTTTTTTTCATGCTTTCCTCTAGAGAGTGAGCCTATCGGGCACCTTTTTTGTTCTTCTTGGTCTACGTATCTGCACACAAGAGATAATATTTACTCTGTTGGTTACAGAAGTCTACTACACATGTGCTAAAATAGCTCATAAAACATTGTACAAACAAGTTACTCACCATTAGTCCTTTTTTAATGCATTTTTAGTGTCTTCGTTGACCATTTGGGGTTCAGTGTCATTTGCCATTTCAGCATGTATCGCACCACCCACATGAGTGACCCCAACTTCATCTTCCATCACAGCATCCACAAGACCTATCTCATTTACTTGCTTCATCTCATCATTTGTAACAACCTGCACAAAAACATTTTCAGTGTCTTCTTGCATTTCTGCATGTACCACACCACCCACATGATTGACTGCGTTTTCTTCTGCCATTTTAGTATAAAGCACACCACCCACATGACTGACTCCAACTTCATCTGCCATCACAACATCTTCTTTTTTTCCAACACCTTGCACATGTACATTTTGACAAACACTAATTAAGATATTATCAAATTTCTAAAAAATAATGTAAAGTTAAAGTACATATACCTCTTTCTCATTGTGTTTGGATTCCACAGTATTTGTCTCTATAACATCCAACTCAACCAGTACAATTTCATCATACTGTGTCTCGGCCAATTCAAATTTATACCCAGCCACACACATGATCTCTTTTTCAATAACTTCATTTTCACTCATATTAAGTTCAATGTTTTTGTAATTCTCTTCTCCATTGCACTCTTTTTTTCCATGTTTGTTTCTAACTTTGCTTCATCTCCATTTTCACTCATATCTCCAGATTCTTCCACGCCTTCTAATCACCCAATTTTTGTGCCCTACACATGATCATCACAATTCTTAAATCCAGCTCGTGTACCATCATCTTATCAACTTATCAAGAATCTTCTTAAGCATCTGACCATGTTCCACTTGCAACTTCTTAACTTCCCTTATTTTATTCTCAATGGTTGTATACTTTTCTTTTTCATCTCTACAAAGGCTCCTTCTCCCTCGAATTGAACCCTTCAATTTGATCCATTTCCTCATCTTCATCACTCAGATTTTTTTCATTTTTTAGGTGCCACCCCTTTCTTCTGCTTTTTGTTTTTAAATGAAAACTTTCTTGTTGCAGATGGTTGTTGATCTAAGGGTCCCATGACATCTACACGTTGACCACTGTTGCTTTTCGGTGTTGTACAGGAACTGGTCTTTGATTTTCTGGAACCAGTCCTCACCACTGGTTTTCCACTTGCATCCGGATGTAAAATGAACCCTAACTTTAGATCTTGAATCTCCTTATCTATCGGAATAATCGTAATCATCTCAAACTGTGAAAAAAAGAATATTATAAGTAGCCAAAGAATTAGTATTAAAAAAAACAACACTTTAATTTTAAAAATATATGTAACTAACCTCAGGATTTTTAAAGATGGTCTCATTTAGATATTGAGTCTGTATTTTTGTACACACCTCCCACTTCAGACAACGAGGGATACAACTTTCCTTTCCTTTTACAATGCCATATAGTGTACCATCACTTAGAGCCAAAAATTTCTCGAAAGCCCATATTTGTAGGGCAAAAAAATAGCTCGAAATGTCATTCTTCCTCTATCACGTAGTTTTATGTTCAGTGAACAACTCCCAGCATGGTTTAATATATCCTCCTATACATCTTCTCCCCATGAATATTCATTAAGCGCAACTAAATTGTCTAAAACGATATTGCCTAAAACATTTAACAATGATAATTTAACTCCATCCTCCTTTTCCACACCTTCACCATTTCTATCAAATTGAAGTAATGCTCTTGTCACATTCGAATGTTGAATTGAATTCTTATTATTGAGATACCTCAATCCAAATTCACCCAACTTATTTGCTTTTGTTTTTATCTTTTTCCCTCCCATTTTAAGCCCAGTAATGATCTAAAACTGCAT